CAGCACCCACACCAGGCAAATGGACTCGGCCTCCAGCACCCACACCAGGCAAATGGACTCAGCCTCCAGCACCCACACCAGGCAAATGGACTCAGTCTCCAGCACCCACACCAGGCAAATGGATTTCAGAGTTGGACGGGGGTCTGGGTTAAGCAGAAGGCTTGCTCTGGTCTTGTAGCCCGAGTGTAGACACACAGCACACTGGCCGTTCAGCGCCAGATTCCATCGATCTCGTATACAGCCGCCCTTTCTCCCGATCTCTTAAGAACCAACGTGCCCTAACCCTTCCCTCGTGGGTAGAGAGAAATCCTGCTGCTCGCCACAGCCAGATTTCTGGGGGTGAGATTCCCGCCCCCCCCATGGGCCCCTCCACCCCCCCATCCCCTGCCCAGCTGCGACCTCATCCATCATCCAGACGTTGCTGTCCCCTGTGGGGCTCAGGGACCCGGGACAGCGGTGTCTGTCTGCAGTCAGCCTTCCCACACCCCAGAGCTGCAAAGGGGAAACACGCTGGCTGGAACCGTTAGAGGACCGTTAGAGAAACTTCCAGAAAAAAAAAAATGGAAGGATGTATGTAAGGGCTTTGGGACAGGGTATTCCTGTTGGTGAGATTGTCAAAGACATCTACAGAAAGAAAAACGAGGAGCTGGTACCGCCCAGAAAGAATCGGCTAGGCAAGGCGTCGGTGGCTCCCGTCTGTAATGAGGAAGGCCGTAAATGAGGATCGCGGTTCGAGGCCAGCCCGGGCAGCAGAGTCCACGAGACTCAGAGCCCCAAAAAGCCAGAAGTCACAATGGCCAGCCTTGAACGGAAGAGCCCAGGGCTTAGCACCCGGGCCCTGAGTTCAAGTCCCAGGGCCCGCAGAGACGCTCAAAGCCCCGGCACCGTGGCCGAGGGCCTTGGCAACTTGGGGGTTTCATCCTCCGACAGGGAGAGCGTTGGTGCTGAGCTGCCGGGGCTCCCGGGCTGACGTGTGTCTCAGTAACGCAGTCTCGCGCCCACGGTAGGACTCAGCACCCAGCACCCCCCTGCTACTTTGTGTTGCCGTCTCTGTAGGGAGGGAAGATGGCGTACTATGAGATGCGGGCGGAACACAGCGTGGACATCGACGTGGACATCGACTGGCCCATCGCCGAGCAAAGGGTGCTAAGGTAAGACAAAGCCAAAGAAAACAGCTGAGCTGGAAGAGTCCTGCTCGGTGGGGGGGGGGGTGCTTTTGTGCCAGTCCTGCAGCTTGAACTCGGGTTGTACTGCTTGCTTGAGCCACAGCTCCACTTCCAGCTTTTTGCTGGTTCCTTGGAGCTTCCCCCCCCCAGTTGGCCTCAAACCACGATCCTCACATCTCAGCCTCCCGAGTAGCTGGGGCGATCCGGCGGGAGCCCCCAGTGCCCTGCCCGTAAGGGTGTTTCCAGAAGTCAGGATTTCTCCACATGTCCTAGGTTAGCTAAGTCTTTAGCTTGCTCACAGCTAGAAGCCGGGTATAAACGAAGCCCCGCCATGACCCGGTTCTGTGGTCTTGAGACACACGGGGTCAGCTCCCACCAGCACGGCACGGTTCTTGCTCTGTCCACACACACGGTGGGTTCGAACACGGCCGGCGCAGATTTACAAGGCACGGCGCGTGGACTCAAAGGCCCGGCGGGGTTTCTTTCAGATACGGCTACTTTGGCAAGGAGAAGCTTAAAGAGATCAAACTTTTGGTTTGCAATATCGACGGGTGTCTCACCAACGGCCACGTGTATGTATCGGGAGACCACAAAGAAATCATATCTTATGACGTAAAAGATGCTATTGGCATAAATTTGTTAAAGAAAAGCGGCATCGAGGTATGTGACCCAGCGACCCGGTGTTTTGTGCTGTTTTGTGATGTGTCTGTTGTTGGGGGTTTTTTAATGAAATTTCGATTCAGCATCAGAGAACGTGCAAGGAACTGTGAGCTGAGGTTTAACCTTCGCCTGCCGAGAAAAGATGATCCCAAGGATCATGAGGACGTTTAATTAGCAACTACTATGTCTTCCTGTTCCTGTGACAATGGACAGTTTATAATGGCTGGCAATACTGTCAACAATGGAACGTGTCCAGTAAAATCAGAGCGGCCCAGTCTTTCCCATAAGGTCTTGTCTCTGAATTGTGTTCAGGGCAGCCTCTTCTTTTGAATTACCATTTGCATGTGTGTAAGCCAAACCCGAGGCTCGAACTTAAGGCCCGGGCGCTGTTCCTGAGCTGCTTTGGCTCCAGTCTGGCACTCCACCACTTGAGCCACAGTGCCACTTCTGGCCGTTTTGGTGGTTCATTGGAGGTAGAGTCTCACAGGCTTTCCTGCCTGGGCTGGCTTCGAACCGTGCTCCTCAGATCTCAGCCGCCTGAGTAGCAGGGATGCCAGGCGTGAGCCACCGGTGCCGGGCTATCACTGCCATTTAATTTGCTTATTTGTTTATGTTAAAACATTAAATGATCTCAAATGAAAAGCGTCATTCAGGCACCGGTGGCTCCCACCTGTCATCCCAGCTACTCCGGAGGCTGAGATCTGAGGATCGAGGTTGGAGACCAGCCAGGGCAGGAAAGTCCGTGAGACTCTGATCTCCAGTGAAACCACTACAAAACCAGAAGTGGTGCTGTGGCTCAAGTGGTAGAGCGCCAGCCTTGAGCTGAAGAGCTGAGGGACAGCGCCCAAGCCCAGAGTTCAAGCCCCACGACCTACCAAAAAAAAACCAAGCTGGCTATTTGACGTTTGCCTGATGGGTCCTTGGGCCAGGCCGCTGGTGCCGGGTTGAGTGGTTACGGGGCTCCACCTTGGGCTGGACCACTCCCGTCTCCCTTTTCCTGCTGATCTTTTGGTCTCCCGGTGGGTTTGGGCATCTGCAGGTGCGATTCATCTCTGAGAGGACCTGTTCCAAGCAGACACTCGCCTCCCTGAAGCTGGACTGCAAAATGGAAATCAGCGTCGCGGACAAGCTGGCCGTGGTGGACGAGTGGCGGAAGGAGATGGGGCTGTGCTGGAAGCAAGTGGCGTATCTCGGTCAGTCGCGCTCAGCCCCGGGGACGTCCGCGACATCCACGGGCTGCTCCCGAGGAAATACACAGTGCAGCCGGAGAAGGTTGCAGACGCCTGTAATCCCGGCTCAGGAGGCTGAGGAGCTGAGGATCCTGATTCAAAGCCAGCCTAGGCAGGAAAGGCCCGTGCGATTCTTATCGCCGATGAAGCAGCAAAAAGCTGGACGAGAAGCTGTGGCCCAAGTGGTCGAGCACCAGCCACAAAAAAGGAAAAAAAAACAAAACAGTGCCCAGGCCCTGATCAGCGCAAAATAAGAATTGAAACAGAGTGGGATTCACGTGTAGAATTGCTAACAATCGTCAAGCACAAAGTACATCTGTCCAACTGACACGAGCGTTTTAGTTGTGTTTGAATGGCTCAGGAAAACCCTAGACTCGAGTTCTACCTTGAGATGATGTGTGAATATCTATATATTTGTTTTTCCAAAAGGGAAGGCCCGGGCGCTGTCTCTGAACTTTTTTCCCTCCAGGCTGGCGCTCTACCTCTTGAGCCACAGCTCCACTTCAGCTTCTGGCGGGTTCACGGGCGATCAGAGCCTCCCAGACTTTCCTGCAGCCAGGCTGGCTTTGAACCGCGATCCTCAGAGCTCAGCCTCCCGAGTGGCTGGGACGGCAGGCCGGAGCCCCGGCGCCCGGCTGCTGGCCGATGTGTTTATAGGCAGGTCTTAAGTGTGTGCGTGACGGGTGGGTCTGACCTGCGTTCCTTCTGTTCGCAGGGAACGAAGTGTCGGACGAGGAGTGCTTGAATCGCGCGGGGCTCAGCGGGGTCCCCGCCGACGCCTGCACCTCCGCCCAGAAAGCGGGGGGCTACATCTGCAAGTGCAGTGGCGGCCGGGGCGCCATCCGAGAGTTCGCCGAGCACATTTTCCTTCTGATGGAGAAGGTGACTAACTCATGCCAAAAATAAGAGACGCGAGCATCCTGGCAGGAAACGCAGGCCCGGCCGCTGCTTTGGGTTTTGGGGTGTCCTTCTGGTTTTGGCTTTTGGGGTGCAGTCCGGCCTCTCCATGATCTAATGGTGCAGAAGGTTTGATGTGATTTATGATAGATTCCCCCACACACACCCTCTCCTCCAATCGCCCCCCCCAGCCCCCCATATGAAATAAGCGTACCCCCACATCTCGACGAGATCCTGATTTCCAGGGGTGACGGCAGCGTCGCTCAGATTCTCAGTAAACACCAGGTGTGAGCTCCCCCCCCATGTGCGTGCCCGCCGCCCCCCCCCCCCGCGTGAAGTGTGTCCGTGTGTGATTTACACGACACCAGGAGTCTTGTGTATGTATTGGAGGCCGCGGGCCCGAGGCCCGGCCTCCCCCTCATCAATAAAAACCGCATTTCACAAAGGCGCGGGCATGGCTTTCTGTGGCTTGAGACGAGGGCGAAGTGCTGCCTTTAAACCACGCCTCCCTCCCCCGAGAAAGAAGCCGCCGGACAACCATGTCAGCACCTGCCACAGCAGACTGGCCTCCAGCAGGCTGTGAACAGCTGCATCAAATGTCCAAGTAAGAGCCAGGCGCCGGTGCTCACGCCTGCCATCCCAGCGACTCAGGAGGCTGAGACCTGAGGATCGCAGTTCAAAGCCAGCCCAGGCAGGAAAGTCCACGAGACTGATCTTCAATAAACCCCTAGAAAAACAGAAGTGGTGCAGTGGCTCAAGTGGTAGAGCGCCACCCTTGAACTGAAGAGCTCAGGGACAACAATCAGGCCCAGAGTTCAAGCCCCACGACCAGCAAAAAAATATCCCAAGCACATGTGTTGTGAACGTTACTGGAGGAAGGTAACAGGGAGAATCGTTTGCAGCCTTCTGTGAGATGAGGGTGATTTTTATTTTTTGGTCCATTGTGGGGCTTGAACTCAGGGCCTGGGCGCTGTCCCTCAGCTCTTCAGCTCAAGGCTGGCGCTCTACCACTTGAGCCACAGCGCCACTTCCAGTTTTCTGGTGGTTTATTGGAGATCAGAGTCTCACGGACTTTCCTGCCCGGGCTGGCCTCGAGCTGTGATCCTCTAGTCTCAGCCTCCGGAGCGGCTGGGATGACAGGCGGGAGCTATGGGCTCCCGGCTCAGATGGAGCTGTTAAAACGGGGGGCTTTCCCCACGTGATAGGAAACCACTCGTGAGTAGCGTGTACTGCGGGGCCGGTACACGCTGCCACACCCAGACCTGCTCCAGAGAGGTGTTCATGGAGTCCAGAGCAGCCTTCCTCCATGGCTTCCTCTCAGGCACCTCAGAAGGGTCTGGCGGAATTGGGGGTGAGCCTTAAGTGGCTGGGAAGATGGATGGGGAGACGAAGATGGAGGGAGCCGAAGGGAACGGTTCTTGAACCCGACATTCCAAAGAAAATGTGCTCTGTGTATCTTGTCTGCTCATTCTTGTATGTAAAATGAGCACTAGTGGCGGGGGCCCGCGGCTCCCGCCCGCCACCCCAGCTCCCCAGGAGGCTGAGATCTGAGGATCACGGTTCAAAGCCAGCCCAGAAAGGAAAGTCCATGAGACTCATCTCTAACCACCAAAAGTGGTTCAAGTGGTAGAGCGCCAGCCCTGAGCCACAAAAGCTCAGGGACAGCGTTCAGGCCATGAGTTCAAGCCCCAGGACCGGCACGAACTAAGTCCTGTCTCATACGGACCTTCTGGGACAGAAATGGTAATTACCCAAGATCAGACACTAGGTGGCAGTTCCAGAACATTCCCCAGGCGGCCAATGGATCAGATCTTCAGTGTGACGTCACTTACAAGGAAGAGTATACACACATATATTTACACACACACACACACACACACACTAGCCCAGCCTGGACCCTATTCTTCATACCAATCAACTTCCACAAAGGGGTTCAGCACACATAGATCTTTTACTCCCCCAACCCCCTGTCTGAGGGCTCCTAGGGTCTAACTTGGGGGGTCTCCACCCCGACTGTCCACTCCAGTGATCCCAAGAAGCTGCCAAGTCATGGGCACGACTTTGAGAAATGGTCTCTTAAGACATGCATGGTAGCCGGGCGCTGCGGCTCCCGCCTGTCATCCCAAGCTCCTCAGGAGGCTGAGATGTGAGGATCGCAGTTCAAAGCCAGCCCAGGCAGGAAAGTCCGTGAGACTCTGATCTCCCATGAACCACCAGAAAACCGGAAGTGGCGCTGTGGCTCAAGTGGTAGAGCGCCAGCCTTGAGTGAAAGAGCTCAGGACAGCACCCAAGCCCTGAGTTCAAGTCCCAGGACTGACAAAAAGAGAGTCAGGTTCTGGTGAAACCCACTTCATGAGGCCTCTCCAGCGCGGCCTCCGGGGCTCCGTGCGAGACCCAGTTCCTGTCTCCATGCCCAGCAAGACGCGGGCCGGCTGTGCCCAGCTTCCCCAATGAGTGACGTTCATGGATGTCACCGTTACTGATGATGATGATGATGATGATGATGGTGATGGTGATGATGGTGATGATGATGGTGATGATGATGATGATGATGATGATGGTGATGATGATGATGATGGTGATGATGGTGATGATGATGATGATGATGATGGTGATGATGGTGATGATGATGATGATGATGGTGATGATGATGATGATGATGATGATGGTGATGATGATGATGGTGATGATGATGGTGGTGATGATGATGATGATGGTGATGATGATGGTGATGATGATGATGGTGATGATGATGATGATGATGATGATGGTGATGATGATGATGATGATGGTGATGATGATGATGATGATGATGATGATGGTGATGGTGATGATGGTG